GTGTTGATGTAAAGTTTGATTATAACAAGCCGTATTTTGCTGCACTATGCGGGGCATATATTGCTACACATCTTAGTGGAATCACAACTAGTCATATGACTCCTAGTAATGATGTTTATCCTGTTATTACTAGTGTTATGGACTTTCATGTTTACTATACTATCAGGAAATTTGTGTACAACCCTGAGAGGCTGAAACCATATTTAAGTAGGTTGGGTCCCGTAAAGAGTCACATTCCCGTTGTTGGTAAGTGGGAAAATAAAACTGATACTTATAGAGTCACCTATGATAACGGACTTGAGTATGAAAAAGCAAGCTGGCTTAGGAAGAGAGGTAGTGATAGCAATCCGGTTAGGAACGTTGTTGCGTCCCCTATAAACTCAGTCAATGGATTTCTAATTAAGATAAAAATTAGTTATGAAGAAAGGGTTTCAGTAAGTCTGGTAGGCAATTCTGACTATAGAAGGTTTATTGCTGTTAACAACCTGGTTGTTCCGAAGAATATTACTGAAACTGGGCTACTATTACTAAATGAGTCAGTGCAGGCTTTCTCGTATTCCGTACTAGGTGCACAAGCATCGACAAGAACTCCAATTGTAGGTGAGATGGGAAAGTCATTTTCTACCCAGGTGAAGTTCGGTAATATTGTTCACGATTGTGTTGTACAAGCGGATCCCGTTGTAACTCTATCTAATATGAGAACGGCTATCAGGGACACAAATGTTATACTTAATACAGCTATTACACCTGGAATAGTTCTGGTTCCATCCAGTCTAATCATTCTAAAGAACCCCGTTCCTGGATATAATAATATTCTTGTAAATGCTTCTTATAATATGAAGCGTGGAGTTAACACTAAGGTAAACTATGTTGGAGTTAAAAAGCCTGATCCTCCTAAGAAGCAACATCAGGATACAACACCTACTGCTCACCTTGATACTCTCAGTGGATATTCAAAACAGACTAAGAAATCTACTGCAGCCAACTCACCTGGGCACCTTAAGACTAAACTGAGAGTGGAAAACTTAGGTTATAAAACTACTGTCAGTAGTAGTGGGACTTCTAGTGCCAGCGTTGTTGTTGGAGCTGGGATTGGTGCAGCAGCTGTATTCATACTGATGAGAATTCTACTGTAAACATTATGTATTCTATAAAATGGCTCTCTATAAGGGATATATTAAAGGTGTAAATGAGGTAGATCCAACAACTGGTAGTGTGTTTGATAAAAACGGATTTACAATGAAAGGTGACATTGAGATGGACGGCAATGAAGTAAAAGGTCTGGGTGCTCCTACAGATGATACGTCTGCTGTCACAAAAAAGTGGGTAGATAATGAGATCATTAAACAGGCTGCTGCTACGATTCGACCTATAGGGTTCACTATGACTGGGAATATCAACATGGGAAATAATAAGATAACTAATCTTAAATCCACTGGAGGTGACTTTAGTGAGGCAGCTAACGTGCAGTATGTGCACACGTATGCATGGAACAACTACCTTGCTACAAACGGCTTCAGTAAGATGAGAGGTGTACTGAATGCGGGTGGATTTGAAATACAGGGGCTCACCACGACTGCAAGTAAAGATGGTAGTACAGTGTCGCGTTTCTATTTACATCAGTGGGTAAATGGTAGATTCCTTCCACTGGACGGTTCAGTATCAATGTCAGGTGATCTCAATATGTCTACCAATGAAGTAAAAGCTTTAGGTGACCCCACAACAGGAAAGTCTGCTGTTCATAAGGATTGGGTAATTGGAATGCTAAATAGACCTGTTAGTGGACTTAATATTGCTGGTGATATCGATATGAAGGACCACGAGATTAAGAATCTTAAGGACCCTTCTGAGGATCAGTCTGCTGTTACAAAGAAGTGGGCCGTTGATAATAACTTTGTAAAGAAAGGTGGAATTATGCAGGCAGATGTGTCCATGGGAGGCTGGAGGTTGTTTGATCTTATTGATCCTAAAATAGACAGTGAGGCTGTATCTAAAAAGTGGGTGGAAGATAAATTGTCTACGTATGGTTCTACACTTAGGGCTTCAGGTTTTACAATGACAGGTGATATTGATATGGGTGGAAATAAAATTGAAAATGTTGCTGATCCCACTACTCCCCAGTCTGTTGTTACAAAAAGCTGGTTTAATTTAAATGAAGGAACATTTTTACGGTTGGATGGAACAGGATCTTTAAATGTTGGTGGTACTGTTAATTTCCGTAATATGCCTACATGTACGCAGAGCCCTATAACCTCTAGCCACCTGGTGAATCTTAACTACCTAAATTCACTTGAAGCAAACCTTGTAAAAACTGATGGCTCCCGTAAAATGACCGGTGACCTAAACATGGACGGGAACGAAGTTGAAAACGTTAGTGATCCTACGGTTGACACATCTGCTGCTTCTGCAAGGTGGGTAAAAGCTGAAATTGCTAGGGGGAGGAGCAGACGTAGTACTTACGGTGGGCTTACTCTTTCTGATGACCTTGATATGGGAAACAATGAGATTATAAAATTAGGTGCTCCAACAACTGATAATTCTGCTGTGTCCAAGAAATGGGTCACGGATCATGTCAGCGTGAGTTCTACGAGTAGTAGTGGACTTACTATGAGTGGTAATATTGACATGGCTGGTAATAGTATTACGGGGCTAAATAGTGGCTCGGTTGGGGATTCTAGTGCAGTTTCTTATGGAACTATGAGCAATTGGTGTAAACAGTTCCTGAAACGTGATGGTGGTGTTTTAGCAAGCAATCTAGATGTTAACGATTTTGAGTTAACTAGAGTGGGAAATCCTACTACGGACGGGTCGGCTGTTAATAAAAGGTGGGCAACTGATGAGTTCATGAGTAGTAGAGGTGGACTGGTAAAAGGTGATTTGGACATGGGAGATTCAAGTGGTATTCTAGATCTAAAGGATCCTGTAAATGATAAGGATGCTGTTAACAAACAATGGGTAGAAAGGAATTTCCTTAAACCTTCCTCAGGACTTGTACAAGCAGTGGCCGACAAGAGATACGTAAGAATAAACCGTCATATTCACGCTGAGTGGATCTGGGGATATCGTGGCGTATCAGTTGCTGCAACAAGGTACTATGCTTACTGTCACGATCAAATTCCAACTTCATGGAGAACAGATTCTATTAATAATATGGCAGACCTCAACCTTGAGTCGATTACTATTAAATCAGACTTTCCAACCTTTTCAACCATTCTAAATATACCACTAGCTCTAATTCTATGGGCTACTGTATGGGAGAAACAATCTAATGGAAAATTTACCCAGGTTAAGAAGGAAATCGCTCTGAGAACAATAGACTTAAGAAGACTGTCACACACCTGGTTTAATGGAACTTACACAACTACAGGTGGAAGTACAGCTTGCTACGTTTTCAAGGGTAATAGTATGTTCTATTTAGGAGCCCAGGCTGAGTTGGTAGATAACACGCTGGCTTGGTGTATTATAGTTAAACCTGAACACTCAATGCCCACTGGATCGAGTATGGATATGTCCTTTTGCTGGTCACTTCGATATTCAGGGTCAGGTAGTTAACATATGTTTTACTATAAGATAAGAATGTCAAGGTGGAGGTCATGTTTCTCCTGTTTGGGTAAGATATGTGGCTGCCGTAAAAAGTCTAATAGAGGTAAGGGAGTTGGTGATATAAACTTCTCCGTATCCAATAATGTTAGCGTTGATGTTAGCACGCAAAATAGAAAGGATGATTCGAGCGTTTCGATTGATCCTAAGAGTTTCGGACACTTGAGAATGCTGGAATATAATGCTAAGGATTTTAAGTAAATTTATAGATTAGATGAAAGTCGACTGATAATCTTCAACGTTGAAAATGAGGGATCCGAGAATCTTGACAAATGGTCTAGAACATTTGCTGAGAATCTGGGAGAAATTCTGGTGATTTATGGTTGAATTTAAAAAAGTGATGCTAGAGCACAAACCAGTTAGTGGTCTAGAACCCTCATTCCCTATACTACTAATATACGCAGTGGTTCGAGCACTATATGCGGTGCTTTTAACATTATACGCGATGCTAGCTTTCATTCAACATTATTTCCATATTCTTTCCATAACATGTCTATGATTTAACGATTGCTTAAATTTGGTATGTGGTTGACAAATGCTTTTTGCCTATGGTCTGCAAGGACAATGACATGCTTGATGCTTTTCTGTGTATATAAATTAATATAACGCAGCGACTGCGCCAAGCAGTATAAACGCTGCTGAAATACGATATTTAATAAAATCTTGAATGTGCCGTATGATATAAACGCTGCTGAATACGATATTTAATAAAATCTTGAATGTGCCGTATGATTTAATTATGTTTTAGGATTTACAAATGCTTTGTCATTTGTATTTATACTTGTACTGCATCACAAGGCAGTACGTAAGTGAACAAATTCCACATGTGAGATTGTCTTGTACAGTATATATTTTTGCTTTCTTTGATAAACATTATTAAACATTGCTTAGCTAATTCGTTACCTTTTCAATCACTCGATGATTTAGATTACGAATTTACTGTCTCAAACGGAATCAATATCAGTGAAGAAGAAATGGATAGACTAATGCATTTGAAATTCAACCCTTTCGACACGAGTAATAATATTGCGCTATCTGAAAACAACGCAAATCTCGATAAATCGTCAAAAATAAACTGTGAATATTATCTACCAAATGATTTTAAAAAACAAATGAATAATGAAAATCTCAATAACTTTTCGATGATGCACTTAAATATTAGAAGCATAACTAATAAATTTGACTCTTTTAAACATTAATATATTCATTGAATAAACCGTTTCAGATAATTGGTTTAACTGAAACTTGGCTAAAAGAAACTAACGAAGATCTATTTAAACTAGAAAATTATGATTTTGTAAATGTAAACAGGTCAACTAAAAGTGGTGGAGGAGTTGGCATTTATGTCGCAAATGAATTGAAATACAAAATACTCTTCGATTTAAACACAATTACTGAAAATGTAATTGAATCCGTTTTCATTGAAATTATAACAGCTGTAGGTAAAAATATAATAATAGGTGTAATATATAGACCACCAAATAACAAATTTGACTCATTTGAAATTATATTCTAGATGAAAACAATGCTCTTGTACAAGCTCCCTCATTTGTACAAGAGATTGTTTCATTCTATGTTAGAACTAACCCTTGCAGTGTACACAGTTTAACGGAACACTGATCTGTACATAGCCCTTGCAATTTTGACAACAATCCCATCTTAATCATGCATAAATAATTCATCAAGCCAAGATGGCAGTGCACATGAAAGTGTATTCGCAAAAGCAATTGATGTCAGTAATTTGAGGGCATTATTGATAACAATTGCCGTTAAGAATTGCAAGGGCTATATATATATAAGGATGTAAGATTTTCAAGATTTAAATAGATATTTTCTTGAATATGTCGGTTCTATTGTCATTTCATCCTAAATGGAATCTTCAGACAAACTCGGAGGCACCTATACTTTGCTCTGATATGGAGCACTCTCTAACAAATTTAACCAAATTTGACTTACATATACATATAGCTACTGTACACATACAGTATATATTATGTATACATTTGTATATACTGTATGTGTATATATCTAAAGATTTGTAAATATATTGTGGTTAATAAATAGTTTATATTAGGTAGACATTGCGTATCTATAAATACACTCTACAGTATATGTAAAATATATTACCTGTTATTCGCAACAAAAGGTGAAGTTCATCCACCTTAACATTTTCAATTGGTATATTAAGTAGTGGTGGGTTAATGCAACCATAGTGGTCTTTCTTATTTTTACAAAGATTCTTATTGTCTTCCAATGTTCTTTGTAGTTTTTTGGACCAATAAAATGATTCTGGCTTGCTCATGTCAAATATAAGGAGAACAGTTAATTCATACTGTCTTTACTTTAAAATTAATAATAATGTACTATGATTTTTTCTGTGTGTTGGTGCAATGTACTCAGGCGAAAATGATGCTTGTGATGTTACTCTGAGTGTATACTCTGAGTGTGTATGGCCAGGCATATTTTACAAGCTTGCCCGGTATGGATATACACTCAGAGTAACATCACAAGCATAATAATATACTAGCCTCCTCTGCGGGCAACTCTGTGTACTATATACAATGTTTTAAATGTTGACTTGAATTTTTTTACCTTTCGTCCTTGTGTATCTTGCAGTAGATGCAGGAGTAGTTTGAGTTTTCTGCATTTATGCCCAGAATTAGTAGAAGAAACTATAATAAAAAATAAGTATATTACAATTTACCTATCAGTCTGGGAGTGTGGTGTCTACTGTTGAGGAAAAAATCTACTGTTTATTGTCATCACCTTGTAATCTCCCCCAAGAAAGAATTCCAATTTGATTTTCTTTCCATCCACCTCAATTTCTCCGGCTTCAATAAGTGCATTTATTTCATCAAATGACTTTTGAAAAGAAACACTTAATATGTTCTCATAGCATTCTTTCCCACATACTATGGCAAATGCATGGTTTCCTAAAGAGAAAAACCTACATTATTCATGTTAGAAAATGGTAAAGAGTGTTATTGTTGAATAAGCGCCCATACTACATTTAACAGATGGGTTCCAACCAGTGCTGTAAGAAGTTCCCTTAATTTAATGCACATATCAATGTTAAGCCCAGGTGTGGGGGACTGGCAAACCAAGGGGGATTTGACTTTTTTTAATATTTCTCTGCCATGCGATGGTCAAATTTCCCTGGGTTGCCTATCCCCCTCCCCTGGGGCTAAACATTGATTGGTGCAGAACTCTCAGTCATTTAATCACCTTTTACAGACATCACTTCCTTTTTATCAGACAGAAGTGAAAATGACACAACAATGTAGCTTAATATTCGTGATATTTTTGCCCCATCCCCAGATATCTTCACTTTGTGGGTGTCATGTTCTCCTTGTTTCATCTGAAAACAAGAGTCTAATGTCAATATGGGTTATGATGTAGATCTTTTCTGAAACAACCTAATGCTGCAGACACGGTAACTACCACAACCACCACCCATCCCTATTGTTTACTTTAAAAATGCACATTTACCTTTTCTCTGATTTGTCGTGTTAGCTCATCCCGGACACTCAGCTGTGCACCGACTAACTCACCAGGAGTTCTGGTTATAGAAAATAATTTGTTGATTTCATTGCGGCATTGTTTGATGAGGTATCCTTTGGGTAAGCCACCCGCCTGAACCGACAAGGCATGGTAAGCAGCATCACCGATACAAAATCTGTCCATGATATGTAGGACCATCTTGATCTTTTCTTGGTCCTCATGAGGAATATCTTCAAATTTTGACTTGGTGTTGTTCTCTTGTTGTGTACCTAATTCCAATGTCAGTGCTTTATTGTTTGGGTCTGTGAGTGATAGGCTCTGTATGGAAAGACCATAGGACTCAACAAACCACAGAGCTCTTTGGGCTCTTGTTTTAAGCTCCTTTAATTTTCTCTGTTGTTGTCTAACACCGAGATTTTCTGCACAATTTCTACACGAATTGATCTCTTCAATATGTTCAATGTACTTGAAAAGGTCTTCATTTTCCTCCCTTAATAAATCGATATTAATTTCGCAATCTCTTGCCTCTTTTGCTTTTTTATTTTGTTTCTCTCTTTCCTCCAGGATTTCAGCATAGGGCACAGCACATCTTTCTTCCAGTTCAAGTATTTCGTCTTTTAAATGTCTGATGGTCTCCTCATTTTTCTTGACCTCGCTCAGCAACACGTTTGCATTGGCAACAATTTCAGCTTCACACACGTTCATTCTTCGACATTTCGCAAGCGCTTCTACTCTCCTCCTACCAGATTTACCATGACATTCACGCTTAGCAATATATGCGAGGTCGGCTATTCTTTTCTCCAATGCATTACTTTGTTTTAAGACAAACAGTAGTGGTTGAGTTGCTTATAAGAGGTCGACGAACGACACGCCGTTTACCTTACTTTTCAAACCATGCCAGAATAGTAGCATTTCTTGCGGAATAAATAAAATAACAAAAGGTTTGTCTGCCAGCAATTGTTTTGCATAGTTGAGATCCGAATTTGTATTAGAATACTGAATCTCTGACTTAAATTTTTGCTTCTGCAGGATGCTCAAATACTCAGACATTTTTCATTTGCAGTTGGCGCGTTATTTAAATTTCGTGGGAAAATGAAGCATACCGCTGCCCAGTACAGTATTGAAGTCTCACAAACATGAAGCCAACACAACGGTTTGGTCAGTGGCGAATATATATTATTTTATGCGCCAAACATAAACAAAACATCACGGAGACTATAATTTTGAAAGCGAGCTTTAATTTGGTCCTTAAAGTTTTGAAATACCTCAAATATTCCAGAAGTTATGGCCGTTTCAATGTGCAAGATATTTGCTCTTTTAGCGGAGGATTTGCGAACACTTTCGTCTGCGTTGAAATATATTTTACGAGGGACAAACGGGAATAAGGTAAGAGAACGAAATATTTAAATATCACGATACTAGACAACTTCGAGTCCCACGTTCAGGTTTCGTTTGTAAATTTTGTCCGTCCATTTCATTTTTTTCGGCTGTTTTATAGTCACTGCTGTCTATTTGACATGTATTATTACAGTCACGGCCTTTATTATAGGAAACTGAATTTCATAAAATTCGCAGGGGACAAGTCGCGATTTGTGGTATACGGTAACTATTTGGTGGATAATATTCTCCGATATTTACTGTATAATGTCTTACTTTCGTTTGTTCCGATTAACAAACAGTTTAGCTAATATTTTAAATAATTGTGCAATTCTAATACAATTCTATACCAAAAAAATTAATTAAAAGCAATCGGATACGTGCACTTGAGGTGTTGCGTAATCGCATGTCGCGTTTTTAGTCTGGCAATGGTAATCAGTTTATGGTCAATAAATTTCCACTTACTCTTACAGCAAATAGCGTTAATTAACTTATTTGTTTCGTTAACTTCTGTCTTGTCCGATCTAGGTAATAAACTTGATATGACTATTTCAGTTCCTGGAGAATCTTCCTGTATTTGAGTTGGAATATTCGCAATTCCCTCGGCTACCCGATTAGGAGGCGATTTCTTAAGATCGTTAGTATCTACGTGTAAGATTAATTTTTGAGGCTCTTTGCGGATAAATGGTTTTACATAATCTTCCACATCAGAAGTCGTCGCACCAGCGAAGCTGTTAACAACAACGTGGTTTTCTTCAGTAGACAGGCGCCAGCCTTGTAGATTTTTCACCATTGAATTACCAACAACAACAGTCACATTTTTTGTATGCTTTGCATTAAATTTAGGAGATTGGTCTTCTGGCAAATTATATTCAACACTTGTTGTTTAATTTAGATGCATTTAAGATATAACATGCACGTTCCAATCATATTTTTACAATAACAAAGATAATATAATAATAAAATGTTCGCTAAAATCGACTATAAAGTTAACTAATAAAACAAATAACACTGAAGACTGTTCACGGAACTATAAAACTATAAAATAGTACCTGAAGGGTAGATCTCCTCGCGCTCGAACTCTCTATACAATCGTTTTACAGCTGTTAAAAGCGTGGCTCATTTTAGCTTTTCTATATTTCAACTTAAATGTCTCGTCTTAAATTACATAACATGCGTCGATGACATAATAATTAACTTAACGGAACTTTAATTAATAAAAACGTAATAAAAATGTCAACTGTTCAAAACATCAATTACTGTAAGAGTGCATATTTGAATAAATTCGTGAATCAAGCTAGTTTGTTTGTTTGTTTGTAGCATTTATTTCAACACGATTAAATTCGCAGCATAGCTGATGTGGTCGTGCATTTACATAGTTATGTGCCTAACCCACCCTGTCAACTTTCCCTGTGGGAGGAAACACGGAGTGCCCGGAGAAAACCCACGACTTTCGGCAGAGCGTTGACTTACTCTTTTCACATTAGGACTGGGTTCCAGTCACAATGAGAAGTCCTCATCGAGATTCGAACCTGCGGCCTTAGAGGTGAAAGGCAAGTGCGCTAACCACTTCGCCACCGAAGCCCCTTTCTTGCAAAATCGCCGAAATGTAAGAACTAATTGCAGTATGATATTAAATTACATATTAATGTTATGTGGGTAATTACTTAGTAATGTTATGTGACAGTAATTAACCCACTGAGTCACATTGTGCCCTGATGGACCCTACTTTATTATTTTACTCTGATTTTACTCGTCAAGAGGAAGAGCACTGGTGCTTAATGGGTTAGCTGGCCTATCTTCCAATATTTGAATTTTGGGATAGGTAATAGGACCTCTACATGCGTCTTGGACCTGTGGTTTACTTATATTTTATAATCATTATTCATCCAATGGATTTCTTATATTTTCAACGGGGTCTTGAAATAGACCATCCCGTGAAATATTGTGTAAAAGGTGCACGCGTGTAATGCGTGCGTTGTTTTGTGTATTTTTATGTAAATCCATTGTAGAAATATCGTAATTGAAGTTAGCGTGTATTGTATGTAAAGTTATTACTTGGTAATTGATAGGTGTGATTTGATGATGCACATGAATTTATCACAGGGCCGGATTTGACCATACTGCGATATTGCAAATTAGGAATTGGTAATAGGGCTTGCAATATTTTAATTTTGGAATAGGTAATAAGACCTTTATATGTGTCTTGGACCTGTGGTTTACTTATATTCATAACACATATATATACACATATACACACATATACATATACATATACATACATACACATATACACATATACACATATACACATATACACATATACATACATATACACACATATACCCAATGGATTTCTTATATTTTCAACGGGGCCTTGAAAGTAGACCATGCCGTGAGACCCCGTATAAGAGGTGCACGTGTATAACAGTGCGTTGCATATCCTTATATGTAAATCCATTGTAGAAATATCGTAATTGACGTTGGCATTTAATGTATGTAAAGTTATTACTTAGTAATTGATAGGTGTGATTTGATGTTTTAATTCTGGAATATAGGTAATAGGACCTCCACATGCATCTTGAACCTGTTTACTTGTAATCATTATTAATCTAATGGATCTCTTTCATTCTCAACGGGTCCCGAAAGTAGACCATGCCGTGAAATATTGTATAAAAGGTGCACGCGTTATTTTGTATCTTTTTATGTAAATCCGTTGTAGAAATATCGTAACTGAAGTTAGCATGTACTGTATGTAAAATTATTACTTGGTAATTGATAGGTGTAATTTAATGATGCACATGAACTTATCACAGGGTCGGATCTGACCATACTGCGATATTGCAAATTTAGAATTGGTAACAAGACTTGTGATTTTGTTGTGTAATTTTCCTGTAATGCTGTATCTTATTTGAATAAATGGTTTTCTAAAATTCATCTTAACAGGGTCTGGAAAGTAGACTATGCATTGAGATATTGTAAACTTAGTCCTTGTTTTACACTGTGTACTGTTTCCGTAATCTGTCCATCACATGTAGGTGAGTCTATGTGAGGATTGTAGATTTATTCCTTAGTATTTAAGTATATATGCAGTTAGATTATGTACATACTCACAGGGTCTTGAAAGCAAACCATGCCGTGAAATATGTAATGAGGCCTATAGTTTGTGGCCTGTATCTAACTATTGATAGGTAGAATAGGTAGATGTTGCACAATCTACCAAAATTGCGGCTTATAGAATCGGGCAGAACATTTAGTTATGCCACAAGGGTAAACCTAATTAGATGTCCTAGAATAATCATCCCAGATGGTTTACAAAACACACAAAAAAAAAAACCAAAAAAAAACAAACACGTGGTGTCCAGGATCTGGCAAAAAGTTTTTATGACTGCACAGTGTGGCAGTCATTACGTAGTATATACTATATAGATTAATACTTTTAAATAATATATATAATAAGGATTGATTGTCCAAAGCAGTTCGAAGCAGTCCGAGCCAGTTTCGCGTTTCAACGTGGTATGGATTATGTTGGGTCAATATCATTAGAAATGACTGCAGAGAAAGGCGAACATGGGTCGAACGGCATATAGAATGGCCTTGGACAAACCATCCCATTGGTTCAACAAAAAATAAAAAATAACATCAAGGAGATAAATGGATGGTATTGGAGAGATGTTGTCATTTTAAATGGAACATTGAATAATGACGTGACTGTGTATTGGGGTTATAACAAACCTTACAGAGTCTTGGGTTGACCGTGCTTGTGAGGTATGTTAGCGGATGGTATATATCATATGGAAGATACAGTATATATAGTTGTGTTAATTGTGCTTTTTCATTTGTTTGGCCCGCCATGTGTCTAGTTAACCCATTGAGTTGCATTGTGATCTGGTGCGCCCTACTTTATTATTATACTCTGTCTAACGCCAGACAATTTTACTCATCAAGGGGTGAATGTAGATCTACCCTAGAAATATAACTTTAGTTATTAAAGCTTGTTTTTCAACAAGTGAATTTGTTTGCATGAAGTGAGTTATAAAACAAACATACTTGCAGGGAGGTGAGTCTGGGATTGGACGCACCAAGGGTGGCTGGAAGTTTGCCGGACTCACCGAGCGAAGCGAGGTGAGTTCGGGAAACTTCCAGCCACCCGAGGTGCGTCCAGTCCCGGACTCACCGAACCTGCAAGTATGTTTGGTTTTTATCACATGCCATTTCGGTAAAATACTCAAAAGTACTGAAGAATTTTATACGCATTTACTTTTTAGTATATTTAATGTCGTGTTTGGATAACGAACATTTTAGGGCCAATATAGTACGCAAACAAACAAACTTAGGCTTAAGGGGGGGAGTACACCTGAAATTTTGCGAAAAAATGAAAAAATTTTTTTTGCATTTTCAGGTACTTGAGGTACCTAAGGGACTTGTCAGAAATTAGCAGGGGGGGAGGGGGGATGGAAAACAGGGGAGGGTCATAATTTTTTGAGCCCTTCAAAAGAGAAGGTCATGAAAAAATAGACAGCAAAAAAGGGAGGGTCACGAGAAATTAAGCCATTGTGATCATAAAGAATTTTTTAATATGATTAATGTTTATATTTCAAAACTACAAAGCTATTGAAAGTATAAATGTAAACAACCCAACTTTTAATATAAAAAAGGTCTTGTTTTGCATTTACAAAACATCAATTGTCTAATATCTCAGAAGTACTGATCTCAGCATCACCATCAGCGCTGCTACCATTACCATAATCTCTGCTACCATCACCATCAGCACTGCTACCATCACCATCAGTACTGCTACATTACCATAATCTCTGCTACCATCACTGCTGCTGCCATCACCATCAGCACTGCTGTTACTCCTTTTTCCCTTCACGTATGGAACATAACGATTGCAAAAGATATATATTTTATTACTAACAAAATGTGAACTATATAAACTCTCGTTTTACATGTGCTCGAAGCAACTGTTAATCTATATATTGTCCCGCGAGTGTCCCACGCGTGATTCTTGCGTAATCATACAACTAAGGGCAGGGGCCCTACACTTTCCCCCTGGAAAGAAATGTCAAACACGACATTGATTCAACGAATCATGAAATCTCCAACAATTACAAATCTCACAAACTTATCCAACACGAGATGCTGCAGTCATTTCGGGCAAGAGTCAGTTCGTTTTTTATTACTCGTTCCACTATCGTATGTTTTCAAACAACATCGTTTCAAATTTCAAAACGAACATGCACTTAAAGTTTCTTTCGAAGATCACGATCTTCAGTTCAATACAACGTTAACGTACTTATCTAATTAAAGAACATTGTTCCACAGTACGGACAATGAGGTCCGAGGTATGCGAAGGGATTATAAGGTAGGGGGGTTGGCTGCCACATATAAGAAATGGAATTCATTGGTGGGAAAGGCGTCACTCCTGGTTGACTAGGCTCTACAAAACCGAAAATAGTGTTCATACTACCAGGGTATGAAATGCCTGTGACTGGGTTACCTGGTGTCCAATAATTTAGTCTTGGTGGTGGGTTTCTGTTTCTGCTAGGTCTGGTATTTTCCATAAGTGGTGGTGGAATAGACGCATTTTCCGTTGCTGGCGGTGGAATGGTTGGTTGTTGTTCATCAAGGGCCAATACGTCTGGTTTCTCGCCCGCTGGTAACTCTGAGTTGTCTATCTCATCATGTCCGTGGTCGCCGTCTTGAGCTGGTGTCACGGCATCGGTTACGTCCGCCCCACTCCTCTGATCATTCGCCAATGGTACAAATGTTAACCCATCTAATTCGTCTTCATCTGATTCCGGTTGACTAGTAGATCTTGTGCTGGGAGGAACTGTATTTTCTCTTTGACGACGAGGCGTTTTTTGGTTCAACAGCGGTTCCACGGGAAGTGAACTACACGGTAACAGCATATTACGATGAAGAGTTCTACTCGGGCCATCAGAACTTTCGGGTTTAACTGTATAGACTGGGCTATCTTCCCCTCTCCTAGTGACCACGACATGTATCTTGTCTTCCCAATGACTTCGCAGCTTGCAAGGTTTATCTCGTTTACTCAGATTTCGTACAAGAACTCTACCCCCCGGTCGTAACTCCGAACTACGGATGCGGCGGTCGTATAGCTTTTTCCCTTTCGCTCTACTTTGTGAACTCTTTTCGTTTGCAATCTTGTACGCTTCAGACATCGCTTCACTCCAGTTGTTTACATACTCTCTATAATTCGGTGACTCAGTTGACTCGCTCTCCAGGTTTAGGATCATATCAATAGGTAGACGAGGATGTCTGCCAAATAAGAGATAAAATGGAGAGAATCCAGTTGACTCGTGACGCGTGCAATTCTAGGCGTGAACCATTTTCTGGAGGTGGTCTTTCCAGTGTGATTTTTGCGTTTCCGGTAGGGTTTGCAGCATGGCAAGGAGGGTACGATTGAAACGTTCCACTTGGCCATTGCCTTGCGGATGATACGGGGTAGTCCTTGAATGTCCAATACCACACAGTTTTTCCAGTTGTTTGAAGAGGTGATTTTCAAATTCTCCTCCCTGATCGTGATGGAGTTTTTCTGGAAAACCGAAACGCAAAATAAAGTCATTATATAACTTTTCCGCCACTGTCTTAGCTGACTTATTTCGGGTTGCATAGAG